AGGCATGCTGGCACCTGGGACAGATTCAGTTCTCCAGGGATTGGGTTAGGTGGCCGCAACAAGGCGTGGGTGAAGAAATGACCGCTCTTGTGTTTGGTTGAAACAGACTGGAGGTCATGACTGTGGAGTCAGAAGGTCAGGGCAACAAAAACAGAAAAGAGTGAACTTTAGAGAAGTGGCCGCTTCAGGATAGTGGTAGAAGGAGGGTCTGAAAGGGGCAATAAGTAAAAAGTAATTTTCCAATTCTGCTGGCTAGGCCTGCGTGAGAGAGGAGCAGCTAGCTTTGGAGAAGATGCTACATGCTGTGTTCAGTAAAAACCGAGGGTTTCAGTGAGTACCAGAAGAAGGAAGGAATGTGAGAGGAAGAGGTCTAGGATGAAGGAGAGTTTGTTAATAATTTACGAGGGTGCCAGGGCACACAGTGGAAAGGTAAGGTAGAGGAAGTAAGGAAAGCTAGGCCTGGATTTATTTTTGGGTGTGAGTGTTAGCAGTCTGAAAGCAGGTCCCCAGGCAAGGAGGTAAGCTGAGGGCAGACAGTCCTGGTGGGAAAGTGGATCCTGAGAGAGGAACATGATGGTCAAGAACCATGGGACCCTGGAGGGTTACAGCTCAAGGTAGCCAATGTTCCACCTAAGGGGGGAAATAAAGGGCACTCTCCTGGATAGTGGCTTCTAGGGAAAGGCCCTGGTCATCTTAGTGACTAATCCCCTTAATAAAAGGATTTGTTCTGTGAAGTTTGGATTCAGTCAAAGGGTCGAACTTGAGGACCTAGAGGGCCGCAGGTTCCCCACCCCTGTCTTAGTCCCTCAACATAAATAGTAAAGTTCAGGGGTCAAGCAGCATTAAGATGTGCTGATTATATTCTAATTTAAATAGTTGTGATCAGTGTATCTTGCCTTGTTTCCCTCAACTGGATTGAAAGCTCCTTGAGGTCAGGGACTGTCTGGTTTCATCTTTTTATCCTGAAAGTCTAGCATAGGCCATACATGTAATGGTTGCTTAATAAATGTCTGTTAAAAGTGAAATGAATGTGTATCTGTTTCTTTGTTCCCATTTTTGGGTTCCCTCAATTATTCATCGGACTTAAAATCACCAAGAGCTCCACACAAGAAGCCTCAGGAAGGTCCCTTTCTAACATCTCCCAGTGATCCAGTCACTGCTTAAACATACTCAGAAAAGAGACTTCCACACAACTAAAAATTAGAAAAAACAAAACAAAAAACCTTCCCCACTTAAACACACTTTTCTAAGTTTCACAGAAATGAAATGAGGTAACGGATTAAGAGTGTTTTTCTTGGCTTTTTGGTAACTTGGTCTCATATTTTTTGGTGGGAGGCAGATTCTGGGATGCTCAATTACCTAGAAGTATTTTGAACAAGGTATGAAATTTCAAACTATGTCACTGATAGTTGGGATTAACATACTTAAAACTTTTGGTTACCTTTTGAAAAAAGTTTTCCCCCCAAAGGTTTCTTCAGGTTTTATACAGGTAGCTTTGGGGTACAAATAACCTAGGGAACTTGGATGTGTCTTTGGGATAGAAATATTCCAACCATTCTGATTCCCCACTTGGTGATGTCATTGCCCTCAGGGCAAAAGTACTGGTGTGACCATTTCTAGTTTTATGTTTCCCACAACTTTATTTATTTGTTATTGTCCTGGAATAGATATTTTTCAAATCAAGTTTTCTAATATAGATAGAAGCTAGCAGGGAGACACACAGAGGTGGTGGAAAACCAGAGGACTAATCTTAGATATAAATTGTCAACAATAAGTATTATTATCATTGGACATCTTTGTTGAGAATTATCTATATATGCCCAAGTCAATTTTAACTTTTTTTCCCTCTTGTACTTTACAGTGTCAAAAGCCATTTTGGCTTTCTCTAGACATCTAATCCCTAATTACCTGTGGAAAATTGGCTCTGATTAATATTGTTTTGATAAAGCTCACATTTCTAGGGCCATAATTCTAGAAGAATCCAAAAGTGTAGTACATTTGTGTGTTTTATTCTCTATGGCTATAACTAGCTGGCCAGGGCTTGCTTCAGTGTTTTGTCACTCAGACATATAAATATTTACATGAACTCCTATCTTGTCTCCCCAATTACCACATTGGTCCAAATATAGGCTGTACTCTACCCCACCCCCCAAGTCTGGCTCATATAAAACCTGATTATGGTCTATAATCAGTGTTGTTTTTCAGTATATACCCATCTATTTCTTACTACTCAGAAAGAGATCATTTTAGAGGGGGAACTTGTTTTATCAGGAGCTCAGAGATTCCCACTCCCAACTTAGGCCAAAGCCATCTTTTCTTGCCAACTAAATCTCTTCTGTGGCCCAAGGAAAGAAAGAATGTCACTTGTCTATCTCATAGTAATTCACTGAAACTCTCTTACGTTTTAGAATGGAAGACAAAAAATTTCCTTCCTGGTCAGAATGTCACTTGTCTATCTCAGTAATACAGTGAAACTCTCTCATGTTTTAGAATGAAAGACAAAACATTTCCTTCCTGGTCAGATTGCGGGTGTCTGGATACCACATTCATCCTGTCCAGCTCCCAGTTAATGAGTGACCTAATTGGTATTTTAGTAATGCTAATGATGATGATAAGTAATGATAATGGCTATTTAAAAAAATTATGCAGAACCTTTCTTCTGAGGATGTCACAGTGCTTTGCAAATGTTGGCTTCCTAAACCTTGCATAATTTCTAAGAGAGGGGGAGGTGGTTGGGCTATGAGCTTGGTCAAAAGCTCTGGAAAGAGGAAGGCCTCAATTCAAATCACAAACACAGAATACAAGAAGAAAACTTTAAATTTATCATTTAATTCTTAGGCTATCAGACTAGCTTCCAAATCACAGAAACAAAGAAACTCAGGTCTGGACAGGACCTCACAGTTTATCCGATCCAAACTTCTCATTTTACAGCTGAGAAAACAGGATAATGGGAGAGAGGAAATTACTTGTCCAAGAAGACCCCAGACTGATGTCCCTGCCTTCAACTCCTTTCCAATCAATCTGCTATTCAATAAATACCCTCTAAACATCATTTTGGTCATGCCTCCCCACCCAGGATCAAAAATATTCAGTGGCTCCCCACTGATTTTAGAATAAAATCCAAACTTATCAGTTTAGCACTGTGCCTTCCACAGACCTCCACAAACTGGCCCCAATTTACCTTTTCAAAATGATGAACATTTACCTTCTGCTGTCCTTCTACTCTATGTCAGTCAAAGTGGGCTCCTCACAGTCCCTTGAGAATGCCTTGTGTTCTCATCTCTTTGACTCTTTCACATGGACTGCTCTCCCTACCTTCTCTGTACCTTTTCAAATCCTATCTATTATTGAAAAAAAATAGTTTCATGTAATCACACTTTAGAGTTGGAAGGATTTTAAAGATCTTAGTCCATACCCTTGATTTTATAGATGACGAAACTGAGGCCTAGCCAGTGCATAGCAGAACCAGAATTCAAACCCCGATCTTCTGATTCAAAATTCAGTGTTTTCTGCACCTAATTGTACTGTTTCTATGATCTGCTCTCTTCTGCACAGCCTTCTTGGGCCTCCAATGGTACTTATCGTATGTGCTACTAACCAGATACTATCTAGTGGCACCAAAGTCCTTCTCTGACACACCCTCACACAAACACCCTCAAGCCTACTTTTCAGAGGCTTCTTGGTCATCTATTTAATTTTCTGTACAGTTTGTCTTGGGATCCCCAACACCAATTTAATAAATCATGTTCAATTAAGGATGACCTTGATATTCATTGCAACCAGATTCTTCTCAAGTCCCATGCCCAATATCATGGAGGTAACCATGAACTCTCTAGGGCCATGCCAATGGAACGACGGTTCCGTCAGGTCCTGGTGAGTTGGGACAACTTTGAATATGGACCTGATGACATTTAGAGGCAGCATGACACAGTGAGTGCAAAGAGCTCTGGCGGCTCTGGAGTCAGAGGACCTGGATTCACTTCCCACCTTTGTCCCTTGCTACCTGAGTGACCCTGGGCAAATCTCTTCATCGGCCTGGGCTTCAATTTCCTAATTTGTAAGGTAAGGGTAGTGGAGTAGATCTCTTTTGGATTCCCTTCTAGCTTGAGTTCTATGATCCCATGCAAAATAGAATGTGAAATATCAGATGATGCATTTTTTTTTAAAGCAACAACAATTAGCCATCTAATAAGATATGGAGGGTTGTGATCTAAACCATATTAGCCCATAGTACTCCCAAGTGCAACCTGAAGCAGATTAAAATGTAACTGGGAAATATTTAACAAAATTAACAAAAAACAAACAAAACATAGATAATATTACAGCTTAAAATTAAGTCAATGTGTGGCCCACAGAGATTTATCCTTGGGGATATAATATATCCTTGGATTGGTGGCCCCTGAGTTTGACACCATTGAGCTATAGAATTGTAGGAAAGAAGAAGGAGAGAGAAAGAGAAAAGAAGAAAAGGAGAAGGAGAGAAGAACAGAGACAGAAGGAAGAAGGAGAGGGAAAGAGAAAGGTGAAGGGAGAAGAGAGAGGGAAATGGACAGAAGGATGAAAGGAGGGAGGGAGAGGGGGAGGAGAGAGAAAGGAAAAGGGAGAAGGAAAGAGGGAAGAAGGGAGGGGGACAGAAGGGAGAAAGGAAGAAGGGGGAAATGGAGACGGGGAGAAGGAAAAGGGAAAGAGAGAGAAGAGAGAAGAGGGAGAGACTTGCTGTTATCTTTACATGCACATATATTATTTCCCCAATTAGACAGTAAACACCTTGAAGGGAACAACCCATATCTCATTCTTCTTGATATACCCTACTGTACTCAGTATAGTGCTTTGATAAAACTTGATGAATTGATCCTTCTTCTCCACCACCAGCTGTTAAAGACCTTTGGAGCCATCTCATTTTGTGGGAAATGACCTATTAGGTCAACTATTTCATGCTGGTTGATAGAACCACACCTGCACATGGTGATTCAGAGGTCCAGAGACCAGGAGATACTTACTTACACGCTGGCTTCTCCTCTTCCACCAAAAACCTACAGGTTCCATGAAAGCAGAACTGACTATGGGAATCTGGACAGTCATTAAAATGTGAAACCACTGCAGCTGCCATAGGGGGACCTGCTGGGACAAGAAAAGGAATGGAGTCAGACATTAGGTGGAATGCACTTCGATCATTCATTCAGTAAACACTTATTAAGTGTTTGCTCTGTGCAGAACACTGATGATATGTCATCCCGTTGCCCACAAAGGAATGATTATGGGCAAAAGTTACTAGATGGTAAATTTTGAGGAGAGAACGCCAAACTTGTCAGAAATCCCTAATGAAACACAGGTTATTTGATCTATGTGTGAGGCATCACAATGTAATGGAAAGCACATTAGACTTACAAGACAACAGGATTCGAATCCTGATTCTACCAGTGATTTAAACTTGCCAAGCCTCAGTATGCTCATCTGTAAAATAGGGATGACACTTGCAATACTTACCTTGGAAGGTTGTTGTATGATTCAAATGAGATAATGTTTACAAAGGACTCTGCGGACTTTAAAGCACTAAGTAAATGTACATTATTATTATACACATTTAATAGTTAATTTAAACATTCTTGGCAGAGATGGAGGTGATGTTCACCACATAAATTTCAGCTGCTTTAGGATGACATTTTCAGCCTCTTTACTGGGGAGGTGGGGTGGGGGAAGGATTAAGGGTTATTGGAAGTTGCCAGGATGCTACAGCATTTTCCACTTGAAAACCAACATCAATTTTATTAGCTATTCCTCACAACTCATTTTATAAGTAAGGGAACTGAGGAGCAAGAAAGGAGTTTAAGACATGTATTTAATGTCTCATTGCAAGTTTCAGGCACAGCTGGCATAAAAGTCATTGGCCCAAGTTCAGAAACAGCTGTGTCACTCTGACTGCCACCCACACTGTCTCTTAAGAGTTTGGAATCAAGTCACATGCCTGTGACAACATTGCTAGAATCATATCTGACTTACACACAGTATGTCAGAGTTGAAAAGTCCCTTGAAAATAATTTTTTCTCATTTTTACAAATGAGGAAACTGAGGCTTAGAGAAGATTCATGGTCACTAGAAGCAGTGGAAAAAAGCACTGGATTTGAAATCTGAAGATGTAATTTTGAATTTTGGCTCTTAGTAGCAAGTCACTCCCTCTCTCTAAGACTCAGTTTCTCTCACCTGTAAAACGAAAAGGCTACACTAGATGACTGTAGAAATCCCTTCCATGAACCATCCTCCCAAACTTGGTGTTATTTTTGAGGGGGTGATAACTGTTTGAGATCTAAATAAGGTTTATTTGTGACAGGTTGTCTTCATTCCAGATACATCCCCTCCTGTTTCCTGGCATCCCCTATCGGGCCTCTTTTCTCTAATATTCTGTATCAGAAATGGTTCATGCTAGAAACTACCTGTCTCATGCTGTACTCCACTGGGCCTCACTAGTCGATCCCTGGGATCTCCCTACTGAGATGAGAAATCAATCAGACATTCCTCAGTGGACCCCAACCTCCCTGGGACACTCTTGTCTCTCACCTGCATTCACAGAACCTAGGCATCCTCTATAGAACTCGGAGAAATGACAGGTATTTCCTATCACTTGGTTGTGTCAAGTGTCGAGAGGAGCTTCTCAGAGGACCATCCCTGCCCCACTTTGTGCTGCTGCTGCTGCAGTCTCAGGATGGTCACAGCCAAGCACCTGCCTTAGGTGACTAAAATCCAGATGCCCTGAACTGTTTTTCCCTTGACCCTTACTTCTATCTTAAGTTATGCCTGATGACTTCCCTTGTGTAAGTTAAAATGTCTGAAATAAGGGAGCTTTCAAGTTCATTGGCCGGTTGGTCACTTTCATGAATGCCTCTAAATTCCAAATTACCTTCAAGAACTGGGTTTGAATCTTGGCTCATCTATCTAGTATCGGTGGAACCCAAGCAAATTATTTTTCCCCTCTCTAAGACCATATTTATTCATCTGTAAAGTGAAAGCATGTAGTCTAGATAATCTCTAAGGTTCCTTTTAGTTCTAAAATTACACATAGTTAGTAAGTGGCAGAGCCAGGATGTGGTTGAATGCAGATCTCACTCCCAGACCAGGTACTTTTGTGGTTACCTATCACTAAGGCAGCTCATGGCACAGTGAATAGATCACTGGGCCTAGAGTCAGGAAAATCTGAATTCAGATCCAGCCTCAGTTACTTACTAACTGGGTGACCCTGGGCAAGTCATTTAACCTCCGTTTGCCTCAGGTTTTTCAATTGTAAAAATGGAGATAAGAGCACCCATTTTGTAGAGCTAAGGTGAGGATCAAATGAGATAATATTTGTAAAGTGCTTAACACAGTGTCTGGCACATTGTAGGCACTAAAGAAATACTATAAATACTTATACCCCTTTCTTCCCCTACCCTGCCTTCTTCAGGGATCACATTTCAGTTTTAAAGAAAAAAAATGGTCAAGAATCTTTGTCTTTGCCTTTAAGACTCCCAGTGTTCCTTGGACTACATACACCCCTTCCCACACAACAGCTATCTTGACTGTTCTGTTTCCAGCCTCTCTCCCACAACTACCACTACCCCACCTTAAGACTAACAAATCCAGACACCCATGATTCAATTCTGACCCAATCCTGAGGGCCTGCCCCTAACCTCATCAGCATCAGAAAAGTACACGTGCTTCTGAAGGAAAAATCATACTTGATAGAATGAGCTTCCTGAGGATAGGGTCTGTCTCACTCGTGCATTTGCATCCTGAGCCCTGGATCATCATGGGTGCTTAATAAATGCTTGCTGATTGAATTAAATAACAACAATAACAAACCTACTGCCTTAAAGCCACTAAAATCACCCTGAGAGAGCCGGGCCTAGTAGAGATCCAGACAACAACAAATTTCCATTTCTAAAGAGTTTTTTACTTACCAAAGCACTTTCCCATCTATTAGCTCACAAGCAGACTGGGTATTACATTGACAGATGATAATAATAATGATAATAGTTAACACTTGGATAAGGCTTTAAGCTTGGCAAAGTACTTTATACATACATGTGTGTGTGTGTGTGTGTGTGTGTGTGTGTGTGTGTATAAAATCTCATTTGATAAAGAAAGTGAGACCCCTGTGTGATAGCTGGAAGCATTTCTGAGTCCAGACTTTCTTTTATGACAGGCTGTCGGTCTCTGATCTAGACACGTCTTCTTCCAGCCTGCCTACCCTCTCCCCTTTTCTAGAATCTTCCATTTAGAAACTTTCATCTCCCGTGTGCCTTCACTGATTGGCATGTTCCTACTCATGATAGCTGAAATATGAAAACAAATGGGTAAGATTCCATTCTCCTCCCTAACAAACCCCCCCTCCCAACCTTCACCCATACCTCCCAAGCTGCCCTACTGTAAGGAATGACTATGAATCTAAGAGTTCTTTCAGCTTGGTGTGATGGTGCTCCAAGGCCAAGAGGCAGCCTTTTTCAAGATCAGCATGGCCTCTTTCCTCCTACTGTGGACTAAAGACCACCATGCTCAAAGGTCTCGCAAAGGTCTTTTTCTTATAAGTCCATGTCCTATTTTGAACATGTAAACAGCAGCCCTTCACTTGTTGCCCATTTCATCTTCTTTGCTGCCACCTTTGACTGGTGAGTGTTGAACAACCTCCTTCTTGATTTCAGGTTGAGTGGTAAGTCTAATTCTTCTGTAACTACCCCCTCCCTCCCAGTCCCAAACACTTCAGAATAGGCCCAAAGAGGAGAAACAACTCACCCAAGAACACATCTCTCACAGGCCCTGCACATTTAGAATGCCTACAAGCTCATGGTAGAGTCATACTCTTGCAATGTGTCGAAGTAGAATTGAGGATCAAATTGTACAATTAAGATATAGGTTCAAATAATGATGATAATTACAAATATGGTCTGGATAGCTACTTTTTAAAAAGTGCTTTCCCATCAATTACTTCATGTGATGGCATAGTGACTGGTGAGGGTGTGTCAATGGACCAGAGACATCACTCTCCAGTGATACTTTCTCTGCTGATTACCTGTGGCTCCTACTCTCAGGGATACATGAGATCACAATATTCAAAAGTTGGAAAGGATGTTAGAGAGCATTTGGTCTAATTTTCTCATTTTACAGATGAGGAAAATTTAGACCAGAAAGGGAAAATGATTTTCCCCTTGTCACACAGGTGATAAGTAGAGGAGGCAGGATTCGTTTAAGTAATGAACTCCCCTAATGTTCTGCTATCCCCTTCTACCTTATTTCACTTTATATATTTTATTAATAAAGTTTTTAAAGAAAATCCAGTTTTAATTATCACAAGTACTATAAAGTATTATGATGTACGGGAAATAACACAGGAACAGAAGCAAAGAGCCTTGATTTCTACCATAGTTTAAGTTTTGACACTAATTAGTTATATGACTGTGATCAAGTGATTTAGTTTTTACAGGAGAGAGGGAGGGAGGAGGATCCTCATATAGGAATAATAATAATAATACCTACTCTATCTCATACTGTTACTGTTTGCTGTTCTGTTGTTTCATCACATCCAACTCTTTATGACCCCATTTGGGGCTTTCTTGGCCAAGATACTGGAGTGGCTGATTTAAAAAACGCAGGGTAAATTATTAATACTTTCTACTACTCTAAGCACTCTCATTTTGTTTGTTTCTCACAACTCTGAATGGCAGTGCATATGGAGTGTTAAGAGCTGTGGTCTATCCAGGCACAGTGATACCTGCTTATAGTTTGTATTACTAAAAAGTCTGAAGCTGGTGGATCGATTGAGCTTAGGAGTTCCGAGCATCAGTAGGGCTAAAGCTAGCACTAAATCTGGCACCAACAACCTCCAACAAATTCATTTCTCGCATAAGAAACATTTGAAACACAATAGATAAGCATTTTAAGAAGTCTGTCCTTGTGACTTTCCTATGACCTCTTTCTATCTTGTGCTCTGGACCTTTCATGGTGTATTTGGGGTGGTGTTAAGTCCTTCATTTTCAGTATTTGGCTAACAGTATGAGCCTGGATCCTTCGTCATTTCTAAAGGGTAATTAAAGTCCAAATTGTAGGGGTGCTAGTCACCACCCCAAATACCAGATCTGTTCTCCCATTATACT